ATAACTTTTTCCAAAGTTGACAACACCGTTAAAGTTTCCCAAAATTCAATTTATATGTATATATATATATATTTATATAAAAAGAATAATAATAGTATGTTATGCATTGATAGCAGCTACAGCTTTTCCAGGTTCTGCAGTCCTCTGAACAAAATTATAGACATTCAGCACATTCCATTAAAAAACAAACAAACAAAGAAAAGAATAATATCCAGACAACAGCAAAGTTGTGTTGCTGTTGTGGTACCTGGCACCATTTTTTCTATTAGCGTCTTAATCATCATCTGGAAAGAGAACATTCTAGAGTAATATCACTAAATGTAGCTCTGATAAAGCACGGTCCCTACTATGTATCAGAAAGCAGGAACTAGATATTTTACATTCATAGAGGTATGATACAGTACCGTCCTACATCAATAATACTAGATTCAGTTTTGGTTTGAAATTTGCTTTGTCTGCAAATAAGATTGCTATGAGGGGAAGTATTTTGAAGGGGATTAATGATAATATGTCTTTTATTATAATAAAATTAAAATTTAAACATTTATCATACTTTGTAGAAGGAAATGGATGCTATATGCTTATATATTGTCAGCCATATCCTCAAAGCAGCAAATGTGTAACAAATATATACACCTGGTATTTTTTTCTGACAACAAATATTTACACATAATTTTTTTTTTTTTTTTTGGTACCGAGGATTGAACTCGGGTCCTTGTACTTGTGAGGCAGGCGCTGGAACCACTGAGCCAAATCCCTGGCCCCACATAATTATTTTAACAATGAAGAAAGTTTAGATTCAGGTTACTTAATAACTTTTTGTTTTCAAAAATAAAACACTATTTCACTTTCGGCAGGTTGATATTAGAAACAAAAAAAGATTAGAAACAAATTTTAATTTATGGCCCATTTTCTATTTTTATTTATTTATAAGCCGGAAAGAAAATTTTTCTGCTTTTTGTAAACCCTAGTAGTTTCTCATTTTAAGAAAAATTAATCTAAAAATATACATTCTGTGCATGATACAGAAATTATTAAAAGCTTTTTTTAAAAGTACTTTTTGAATTCTTGTGTTTAAATATTTCCCATCAGATCTTTTAAGTAAAAACTTTATGCTCAGATATCCTTTTAATATTTGATTTAACAGGGCTGGGGATTTAGCTCAGTGGTGCTGCTGCCTGCCTAGCAAGTGCAAGATCCCAAGTTCAATCCCTGGTACCAAAAAAAATTTTTTTTATTCCAGAAATAATTCAGATATGTATCATAATTATTTTCAGTTTTTTTATTAATGTATGATAAAATGTTTACAGCACATACATTTATTATAATTCTTTTGAAAGAATGTTTAGTAGTGCCAGGCTTGGTGGCACGTACCTGTAATCCCAGCACTCAGGAAGCTGAGGTGGGAGGATCACTGTGAGTTTGCGATCAGCCTGGACTACATAGTGAGTTCCATCCAGTTCAGTCTCAACTACATAGTGAGACCCTGTCTCAAAAAACCAAAAAAAGAAAGAATGTTTAGTAACTAATGTTTAGTAGTTGTCTTGGCCAACTTGTGATCATTGAAAATTTTTGGGTTAATATTGTAGTGTCAGGACTGGGGATTTAGCTCAGTGGTGCCGTGCCTGCCTCGCAAGCACAAGGTTCCGAGTTTGCTCCCCATTCACTCCCCCAAAAAACTGTAGTGTCATATAATGACTGTTATTACCTATTTAAATTAATGTCATATTTTAATTCATAACCTGCAAAGTTAATTCATAGACTGCAAAGAGTTTATTAAAAGTTGTAATTGGGCCATGGATTTAGCTCAGTGGCACCGTGCCTGACTTGCAAGCTCAAGATCTGAGTTTGAGCCCTGGTACCCCCCCAAAAAGTTGTAATCATTATATACTAATAGCTCACATTTATATAGAGTAGTATGCTTTAACATTTGTTTTATTTAGGAATTATAAAATCTTGTAGTCTGCCTGAAGGGGCTTGTATTATTTATTTTTGCTTTGCTTTTAGAAACAGTTCAGACCTAAAGAAGCTATGGCACTTGCCTAAAATTGCTTAGCCAAGCCTTACATCTGCGTTGTCTGGTTTATAATCCAGAAATTTTCCCACTGATGCATATTGTCTAAGTCAATGAAAGTGACTGTGAAGTAGAAATTTTAATCTATCTTAAAATTTTTTTCACTATATTTAAATGCAAACTACCTCTGTGAGATGTATTAGTATTGTAAACTATGTTTATATGTAGTATGGCATGTATGTCTCCATGAACTTTGTCCTAGCTTTAGCCTTCACTGTAGACACACTGAGATAGCAGTAAATTTTTCAGTGACATCACTCTTCAAATTTTCTAAGACTTAGAGAATTGCCTAGTAGGACTTATTGCATGTTCATTTATTATGCTCCCTGTGGTCCATCCTTGTCATTTGTGAGTAGATTAAGTTTGGAAATCAAATCAAAGTGGTTCCAAAGAGTGGCTAGTGAATAGAAAGGGAACACATTGGAAAGTATGATGTGGAGGCAAAAGATTTGAAAATCTGTAAAATAATGAGACTAATTTCCTTGCAGCTTAGATTCTAAAGAGTAAGTCAGATAGGTTTGGAATAAGAGAAGAGAATGGATATTGTTTCCCAAGATCACACCTGTAAAGTGGCCTTTGCTCACTTGGTGTTTGATTTGTGAGGCTTGACTTTTGGAGTGCTGAGGATAGAGAGCCTCTGGTGGCTGGCCATGTTGTCCTTCACCAGCAAAAGTGAGGCTGGTGCCATTTCTTGAAGATTGAACGTGAGTGAGTTGTTTACTCATAGCATATTGGGACCATTAACCTCTTGAACACTCTTCTATAAAATGCCAAAGTTATAGACGGGCATCTCAGAGCCAAAGTGTTCAAAGGTTTAGACCCAGAGAGCTAGGTATTGGGGGTGTGGAGTGGTAAGAAGCATCAGCGGCCATTGTTTCTACTGTGTTCTGATGATATGTCATGTCTGTCAGAGAGAGTGTGCCTGCTGAGTATGGGGTGGACTGCTGATTGCTCTTTTGGAGGTCAGTGTTATGAAGAGTGCTTGGAGCAGAGGTGAAATCATAGAACTTGCATTTATTTCCAGACTGTTGGCTGTAGACTTTTTTTTTTTTTTAAGCTCCTAAGAGACGAGACTAATTAATTACCTTGGAGAAGAGCATCCTTAATGAGTAAATTCTGCATCAGGTTGAGGTTCACCCCAGTTGCTTTACTGATATAATCTTAAATAATTAGTGAAGGTTTTATTTGTTTTTTGGCCGTTTTGTTTTTTTGAGACAGGGTCTCACAGTATAGTTAAGGCTGATCTTGAGCTCACTATGTAGCCCAGGCCAGCCCTGAACTTGTGGCAATCCTCCTGCCTCAGCCTCCCAAGTGTTAAGATTACAGGCATGCGCCACCATACCTGGCCAATTAGTGGAGTTTAAAAAAATAATAATTTAAACTCTAATATTTAAATAATTCACTGAAGGACAATTGTGAATATTTATCAAGTACCTATAAATGCTAAACATGTTGTGAAACATTTTCTAGGCTTTATCTCATTGGCTCTTCATCAAAACTGTGTAAGACAGATTATCTTGTTCTCCCCATTTATACAGAGATGAATACCAAGGCACTTAGAGAGGCTTAGTGACTTTGCCCAGAGCCATACAGAGTGAGGGCTTTGAATGAGGTAACCTAAACCTGTATTAAAATGTAATACTGTCATAATCTTGGCAAAGACTGTCACAGGTTTTATCTTTCAAGCATATAAACAAACATTTCACTGAGTTAAGGAAGATGCTATATTTTTATGTTACTTATAATCAACATTCATGGATTTTATTTTTTAGGGCTTTACACTGTGGGTTTCTGTCCTAACCCCAGTGGTACAGGGACTCAGTCATATGCCAGCTCTTTTCTCATTCTCAGCCCTGAGCTGACCCCTAAAAGGGAAAATTGTGACCCAGGGCCAGCTGCTGGCCTGTCTGTCTGTCTGTGCTCTCCAGCCCAAGAACTGATTGCCTCTCTGAGAAAACTGGCCAGGCTCCTGGAGGCTGCTGAAAAGCTTTGATGTAGAGGTAGCAGTTGAACAGATTGTCCTTTAGAAGTAGCCAAATTTCATTTTCCAGATTGAAAGACAGACTTCCAAGAAAACTTTTCTTTTTAATGTTTTGTTCTAGCATCCAATAAAAGACCCAACTTTAGATCCAGGTTTGAGAGTTTCTCAAGGCTATTCTTGTTCTAGGTGGAGGGAAGTTGGCCCCCTTTCAGATGGCATGTATTTTAATAGCTGTACAGCTGGCCAGGCCAGCCTTCACTCCCTCTTGCTGGATTTGGAGCAGAAGACTACTTGGCAGCTGCTGGGCACCTCCCAGTAGGCTCTCCAGCGTACTTTGGTGACACTTTGTAGCAGACCTGGATTCATACCCAAGCTTTGTGCTAGCTTATTAGTATTGTGGCTGCCTGCAGCTTGCTTAGCCCCTTCCTTGCCACCCTCCAATCAGTATTGAGGATTAAATCCTTCCTCATGCATGCTAGGCAAGGGCTCTGTTGCTAAATACATCCTCAGCCCTCTTTTTGTTTGTTTTGTTTTATTTTTGAGACAGGGTCTCACTATGTAGTTGAGACTGACCTGGAACTCACTATGTAGCCCAGGCTGGTCTTGAACTCACAGCATCCTCCTGCCTCAGCCTCAGCCTCCTGAGTCCTGGGATTACGGGTGTGTGCCACCACGCCCGGCTCTCAGCCCTCTTTTTAAAATTTTGTTTTGAGACAAAATCTTGCTAAGTTGACTAGGCTGGCTTCCAACTTGCTACTCTCCTGTTTTTTTTTTTTTTTTTTTTTTGGTACTGGGGATTGAATTTGGGTCCTTGTGCTTGCGAGGCAGGTGGCAGATGTCTCAGCCTCTCAAGTAGCGGGAATTAGAGGCATATGCTACAACAGTTGGCTAGAATTTTTGAGTTCATTTCCTCATTTCTAAAATGAGGGTTATAATTTTTCCCTCAGGGTTAAAGTGAAGATTAAATGAGAGGACATACTAATATTACTAGTGGTGGACCTAGCGTGTATTGTGGGTCCTTCTGAGGGTTGGTTTCCAATTTAGTATTAGTGAAGTAGCTGTAGTATTGATTAAGAAGATGGTATCTGAAATCAAGCAGATCAGAATGTGATCGATCCTAAGTGTCTTATATCAAGGGCAAGTTGCTGTATAACCTGGGTTCTTAACCTTTGTAAGAGTCAATTTTCTCACACATTGATGGGTATAATATCAATACCCTGATGGGTTAGTTGGGAGGATGCACTGAGTTAATGCTTGTGAAACTCCTATTATAAAGTTTGGCACATAGTAAGCCCACAATGAAATTACATTAGTTTTGGTGATGTTAGTATGCCTCACTGCATTCTGCCCTGTTTTATCTCCTAGTGACCTCTTTCTTATCCTTTAGTAACTGTGTAACTCACCAATTGCTGAAAGGGAGAAGTTGCCACTTTCTAGAGTCATTTTCCCAAAGGACAGATTCTATCATAAAGGCCCAACTTTCCCATGAATTCTCTTTTTTCATCATCCTTTTACTCTAGTTTTTTTCCTTGTTCATGTGTATTCAGTGGGGGTTCCCTCCCCCAACCAGAAGCATTTCTTAGAATTTTGAAAATTAAGAGGCCTGGATGTCTGAGCGCAGATCTGATTTGTAGGATCTGAAATCAAGGAGAAGCCCTGCTCAGTTTTATCATTCTCGGGGGTGATAAATGGCCTTCATTAACTATAATCTACTTTTTTAGCAGCAGGTCCCCAAAGCCCTATTTATTTCTTCTGCTCATTTGAGGAAATTGTTCAACATCCTCTGATTATACTACATTGGATCATCTCAAAGGAAGAAGATAGGAAAATGAGACCAGAAAAAACTAAATCTAGACCCTTAGAAACCATCTAGACTGCATTAGGCAAAATGAGAAACCTGAGAGTCAGAGGACAAAATGATTGGCCCAAGGCCACACAGCAAGGTGCTAACAGGGCTGAAACAAGAAGGCTGGTTGTCTGGCTGTGTTCAGTTTTCTTCCATTCCATGGGCCTCCATGTGTTTCCATTGTTCTTCTCAGTGAAACCCTAATAAACATGATATTACCATATATTTTAGTTGAACATGTTCTTATTGATATTTAAAATAGAGTCAGTATGCCTCTAAACCCTCACTTCTTATATTTTATTGTTATTTTTTAGGGTGTCAGTTGCCAGATACATTCAATTCATGGTTTCTTATAACCCTACTTCATGTCTGGTAAGTGAGCAATTTAAGTGAAATCGCTACTGTTTTTGTTTTGTTTTGTTTAGCCCTGTTGACTTGTAAGGTATAGCCTTCTGCAGGCTGGTTATATGAAATGGCAGTTGTTCAAGGATGAAAAACTATTCCTTTCATTTTAATAACTGGTGTCTTGAAGCACATTTTTATTAAAGGTCAAAGCATAGGCTCAGAAGGAAACTAATATTTGTAGTTTTTCAAAGAACATCTATCCCTGTGAACAATGCTATCAGTATCTTTCAGAGCTTAAATGGAAAGTTCTGTCCCTTGGCTATTTTAGGAAAGTTCACATTTACGTAAAAGTGGTTTGAATTGTGAGAATCCGTGGTCATTTTCATTGCTGGCCATGAGAAACCTATAACAAATTATACCACTGACATTTACACACCGTACCTCTAAAATGTGTATGCAGGTTACATTCATGCCAGTTTGTTGTATGTAAAAATATTTAACACCTTAAACAGTATATTTTTTCTTCAGCTGTGAAATAAGTAGCCAAAAAAAAAAAATCAGTTTTTCATCTACTGTTACACAATATTAAAGGTTAGATGGATATAGGAGTTGTTGAAGTGTGGGTTGGGGAATGTACTTTTTGATTTGCCAGATCTTGGGAAAGTAAATTCTGGAGAACTGAGTTTACTGCTTTGACCATAGTGACTATCTAAGGAACGTGGGGAATGGCCACCCTGTCAAAAGGACTCTTGATTTGAGAGCTTTCAACTGAGCCTTGCATCACAGGACTACTATATAAAGACTTTATGGTTTTGATCACCTCTGAAGTGTTTCTTCTGAACTCATATTGTCACCAAGTTTGGGAAAGAAGCCTCAGGTGGCAGTTTATTTTACGGTGTTTTTCTCCTAAGCTGGTAGTTTTTTGAGTGCATACTGTATGTATCCTGGCCACTGCTGTGAACTAGGGATAGCTTTCAAGAAACCCCCTGTTTAGTGGAGGAGATAAGACTCATAATCAGTTATAAAGAGGAATGTCCAGGTTCTGTGCTAAATGTAAGTAATGCTTATATGATCACAGAGGAAGGTGCAATTACTAAAACCCTTCCTAGTTCCACCTCTTAGTTCTTTGAAACATGCCCTGGCTGTTAGGCAGCTGAGAAGGCAGGCAGTATGCTTTTGGTCTTTGTGGTGAAGGTTAAGGAGAGGGTGCAGGGAAGAGAAGCTGGGTATAATGAGAGGAAAACTACTTTTTCAAAAGCTGAGTACCGCAGAGGTGGCCCTGGTGAATTACTCACTGGAAAGCTGGGAGGGTTGAGAGAAGGCTAAGCTGTTCCCAGAGGAGCTCAAAGATAATATTCAGAGCCTGAATGAATGACTCTTTATTGCCTATATAGCTAGAGGTATCAGAGTGGTGGAGGGAGTGGATGGCAAAATAAAATATATAATCCCTGTGACCACATCCCAAGGTCAATATCTGACTAATAGCAGCTGGTAGAACCTTGAAAGTACTTGTAGTTCTTTAAAGTTTCCAAACTATGCCTACCGAGCTTTCCTTGATGAGGTTGATTAAATTTCTCAGAGGAGTAGGATTTACCACTACCATTTAAGTATGGGAGAGGGAGGCTGCCTGCTTTAAAACTATACTTGGTGTCCCTGCATCTCTTTCTTCACTCTTAGTGAGGATGATCTGCAGGTTTAGGTGGAATGAATTGGTAACTTTTTCATTAGAATAAGTAAACTCTTATTGATGATATACTATGTATTCAGGATCATGGTTTGTTGAAAAGGCTAGTGAAAAACAAGCATAAGGTACAGTTATCTGTAATGTATAATAATGAAATACCATGCACAAGACACAAGAACATGCTGTGAAAACGCATAGAAAGGTATCACTCAATCCAAATTTGATGGCAGCAAATGAGGGAAACATTAGATAAAGAGTGGCTCTAGGCTAGGGGTATAGTTCAGTGGTAGAAGTGCTTGCCTGGCACTCATGACGCCCTGGGTTCAAGCCCTAGCATCATCAAAAACGTGACTGTGGTAAAGGTAGAATTTCTGTTAGAGAAAAGGAAGGCATTTAGGTTAGAGAATATCAGGAGCAGAGGTCAGAGCATGGAGAAAACAGAGTGTTTTGGGGCAGCCAGTTGTCTAAAGTGTCTGGGGTGGGTTTATGGAGGGATGTAGTAGAAGAGCCACCAGAAAAGTAGTTTAGGACCCAAGTATGTTGTGATTCTCCAAGAAGAATTGGAGAGAAGTCTCTCTTCTAAGGGATAGGGATAGGAGAACTGATGGAGCCCACAAGTCTGTGGAGAAGTTATGTTCTTCCAGCCCTGTTCTCTTAGCCTGAAGTTCTAGGAGAGTAACTGAAGGATAGCCAAATTGAAAATTACAGCACTTGGCACTGGCTGGCTAGAGATACAGGGATTGAATCACCTCCTGGAAGAAGAAGTGGAGAGGCTTAGAAAGCAGAGTCTCCTCCCCCAAAACAAAACCCAAACCAGGCAAACTCCTATAATAATAACAGATTTTCTAAAGGCCTTGCTCAGATTCTGAAGGTTGATGGTTCTGTGTTGGCTCTTAGAACAGGGAGAGGATTTTTCACATCTTGTTAGTTCCCTGGAGGAAATGTTGATGTTTCACTTATCCTGTCTGCTTTTTCTGGCTTCACAGTTTTTCTTTGAATTGGGATTTAGAATTGGGATCCTTTCCAGTTCTTATAAGACCCTTATCAGTTATCTATTCATGTGAGCTTGCAGCTGCCATGACTAGGCATCCATTGTCTGTGCTGAACAATATTAGTATTGACTGTGATGGCTGAAAAAATGCTGAGAGAGCTTGCTATCTGAGCTACCCAGCATCCTACGTGGACTTGATAAAAATGGCATCCTCCTCCTTTCCTTGTCTTGGCCATTGGCATTGTGGATCCATTCAGGTACCTGTACCAGAAAGTTGAGCATTCTCCATTAGTCGCCAGTCACCTAATGAAAGTTTTTGCCAAAAAACTGTAATAACAGATGCATTTTACTCTGTGACCCAGAACACACACATATGTCTGATTCAAAAGTTTTCTAAAAAATTGTCTTTACATCTTTATAGTGTCACATAATCTAAATATTTTTTCTGGTACCAGGGATCAAACACAAGACCTTGTGCTTGCCAGGCAGGTGTGGAACTACTGAGCTGAATCCCGGACACAATCTCTAATATTTTCTCTTCCATTTGCATTCATTTTAAGAAGAAATTCAAGATGTCAGCACTAAACTGATTTCACTGGGCTACTACCATCAGTACCTGAAAACTGGTCTTTGGCCTCTGGCTTTCCTCTCCCCATTCCTTAGCCCTCTCAATATAAATTAGACCCCCCCCCAAGTTTCTTAGCATGATGTCCATCCATATCTTACCACATATGGCCTGTGCTGCCTGTGCTAGTTTCATTTGATGCCATTCTGTACAAATTCTACTCTGTGTGGAGTGCCCTTTCACTTTGTCTCCACTTGACAAACTCCTCTTTCTTCTTCAATCCCAGTTAAGGTATTATCTATGTTTTGAGGTCTTCCCTTCCTTCTGAAGACAACTCCTTGTCTGTGTTCCTTTAGTATTTTTCCTTTTTTTTTTTTAATGTGTGTATGTGTTTTGGTTTCTTTTTTTGAGACAGGGTCTTGCTATGTGGTTCATGCTGACCTCAAAATCTCTATATAACCTGGGCTGGCCTTGAACTCACGGTGATCCTCTTGCTTCAGCCTCCTGAGTGCTGGGATTACATGTGTGGGCCACCACCCCTGGTTTAAAAGTTAAAATTTTAACTGATACATAACATCATAACAATTATACATATTAATGGGCTGCCATGTAGTGTACATAACATATAAACATGTATACATATACACGTATAGATGCGTACATGTGTATACATACATGTGCCTTAAGATATGCATCTCCTCAAACACCATTTCTTCAGTGGTGAAAACTTTCAGTGTCCTTCCTCCTCCTCCTCGTCTTCTTGTTTTTTATCTTCCTCTTACTCCTCCTTCTTCTCCTTTCCCTTCCCTTCTTCCCTTTTCTCTAATTTGTTTTTCTTCCCCTTCCCCTTCCCATTCTTCCTCTTCTTCTTTTCCTCCTCCCCCCTCATTTATTTATGTTTTGGTGGAGGACTAATTGAACCCAGGGCTTCATACATGCTAGGCAAGCACTCTACCACCGAGGTAGATACATTGCCAGCCCTCTTCTAGGTTTTTGCAATGTACACTACATTATCATTATCTATACTCATCCTACGGTGCAATAGCACACCAGAACTTCCTGCTTCTGGCTATAACTTAGTGCCCCACTGATCAGCCTTTCCCTATCCTAACCTCTCTCCAGTACCATTCTACTCTATGAGATCAACTTTTTACAGTTCACTTATAAATGTGACTACACAGTACTTGTCTTCCTGTGCCTGGTTTATTTCACTTAACATGATTTCTAGTTCTACCCACGTTGTCACAAATGATGGTTCCCTTAGTGTTTTGGATACTCTCCTATGGCATTCATCATATACCTTTTTCCCCCGGTATTGATGATTGAACCTGGGGTGCTCTACTACTAAGTGACATCTTAGCCCTCTATTTTTTATTTTGAGACAGAGTCTCACTAAGTTGCGTAGATGGGATTTGAACTTGTGATTCTCCTGCCTCAGCCTTCCTTAGTGAGGGATTACAGGTGTGCACCACTGAACCTGACTCATCGTGTAACATTTTAATATTGTATCAATCTTCTTTTTTTTTTGGTACCGAGGGATTGAACTCGGGTCCTTGCGCTTGCAAGGCAGGCCACTGAACCGCTGAGCTAAATCCCTGGCAATATATCAGTCTTCTTTGTGATGGTGAATTTATTAAGGGCAAGTATTATTCTTGTTATATTTGCATCTGATTTTTTCTCAGTCCTATGTCTTATTCTTATTTTGCGTCAGTATTTTTTTTTTTAGTAAAAAACAACTTTATTAGAAATTTTAATAAGAATTTAAAACCAGGTTTTAGCTCAGTGGT